ACCAGGCTAGCCTCGAACTCACAGAGATCTGCCTGGCTCTGCCTCCCGAGTGCTGGGATTAAAGGCGTGTGCCACTACCGCCCAGCTGTAAATTACATTCTTAAACTTGATATTTAAAACTGTGTTTTTCCATATCTAGTCATCTAATTCCAAGAACTATTTTATTAAAAAGTTAATTTTTTTTTTCTGCCAGACTCCCAACAAATGGCTGTTTATCTTTTCTCATGCAATTATCATTCTCATTGGTCACAATGCGTAACTTACTTGTTGGTGTGTGGTTCTTAAGTAGCTGTGCGATTCTCCTGCGCTGATACGGCATAAGTAACTGTCTTCATCTACATCAGTGCCTTTCAAAGTCAAAGGGACTCCACCCTTGGCTTCCGGGCTGCAGTTACGTGTGACAATAGTGATGGTTATCACAGAGCAGTTCTTTTTTGAGAAGAGACGTCGGCTGGCGCTGCCAAGGGTGGCATCCCTCCTAGCAATGAGCCTTCGTGAGTGCTTCCTTTTAAAGTTTGTTACAATGGTCCACTTGAATCACTTCTAACACATCATTTACGCCGTGGTCATTTTCTCTAGCAGCTGTCTCGAGGACTCCCATTTGGAGCTCACTCTATTAGATGTTCGTATGATTTCCCCTTTTACTCAACAAGTAAATAAAGCATTTTTCTTAGACGTGGGCCTGGTCAGACACCCTCTGTGGTTCCTACCAGCTCTCCAATGCTGTGAGCTCAATAGATTGTCCGCTGCATTCTCGACCATGCTACCCCTTTCTTAAGCTTTCAACGTTTGGAACATTGAAGGTAGAAGAAATCTAAGGGAAAAGTACCAAGAATAAAGTGTCCCAGTACAAAGGAGTATCATCAGTGGGGCAGTGGTGGCGCATGCCTTTAATCCCAGCACTTGGGAGGCAGAGGCAGGTGGATTTCTGTGAGTTCGAGGCCAGCTTGGGCTACAGAGTGAGATCCAGGACAGGCTCCAAAGCTACACAGAGAAACCCTGTCTCAAAAAAAAAAAAAAAAAAAAAAAAGGAGTATCATCTTTATGGTTGTAAAGAATAAATGAATTGGAGATGTTTGGCATATGCCCAGGGCTTTGTGGCACTGTATACTTAAACTTCAGTGATGGATTACATGTGTGTATCAGCTCTACATATGCCTTTAATCATAATGGCACTTCTTTAAAGAATGACTGTAATTGCTTGGTAAATCAGTTTTGAGACTCTTTAAATTGTTTTTATTTTGTTTTCCAGCTGGAAAGCTCTTCATTGCGCCTCTCATCCTGGTTTTGGGATTGGCACTAGGGGCCATAGCAGTTGTAATCGGTAAGAAACAGGCGACACGTTTGAGATTACAATTCTCCCGTGGAGATAGAGACAATGTGAGCTTGTATGTAATGCTGTGAGTGAGCGAGTGAGTGAGTGAGTGAGTGATTGTAGTTTCTTCTCTGTGCCCTGCTTTAAATAGCCATGCAGCATGGGGTATGTGAGATCAGAGGAACATGTTTCCAACCGGATATGTTTGTGAGACTCTTTAATATATGAACATACATGTTAAAGGAGTAGTTCCCGGACTTAGCATGACGTAGAATAGCCTGGGGAGCTGATGGAAACACACACTCCAAACCCCAACCTCTGTTTCTAACACAGTGTGGTATCTGGGTCCATGGATTTATGTTTCTAAGAAGTTCCTGGATGCTGTTGATGTTGTTAGCCCAAGGGCCACACTTTGAGAAGCATTGCTTTAGAGATTTTAAATGTTCTGGACAAAAGCTATTTTGATCATTATTCCCTATAGAAAATGGGATGCTTTTGCTGAACTCAATGATTTTTCCACATGTAAACTTCTCTCTCTAGGTAATGGATGTGTGGAACAGATAGAATGATAACGTGTCTCACATTCAAGTCATTTTAGTCAGCTAAGACTTTACAAAACAGATGTCATTATCTCAAGTAGAGAGAATCAAGTCTCATTAGGATCTCAAAATTGTTAGAATGGGAACCACACGGATGTTCGTAAATAAGATGTTATACTGACCGACAATGAAGCGTGAATATCACAGTGTGCAAATTATAGGATTGAGACAATAAGGTTTGCTAGGAACCATTTGTTTTTGATTAGAGCTGGTGTGACAGAGAGTGACACGGGACAGAGGACTACAGAGAAATAGAAAGAATGACGTCTTACAGAAAGACATCCTGTAGTAGCTTTATGTTTGGGAATTGTTAATAATGACTGTTGTAAATAGCTTGCATATAAGTAAAATTGGGAAATTTCACACACACACACACACACACACACACACACACGCGCGCGCGGCGCGCGCGCACTCCTCAGTGCTTTCCTCCCTAATTGCCTTTATTTTTTTAATCCCTAGGTTTATTTGTATTTCCTATATATTGCCTTTGTAAAAAACAGAGAAAGCGATCACGGACAGGCATGCACTGGTAATCCACAGAGGATTTCACATGACATCAGCCGGTACCAGGGGGAGGTGCAGGATGGTACACCGTCTGTGAGTCGGATCCTGAGAAGCACCTAGAGGAACTTCTGCCATCTTGTCTCCTGTGGTTCTCTGCAGGCCACAGTGCCTCCAGCTACGGTGCGCTCCCAACATGGTATCCTGTCCTTTCCCTAAACAAATTGCTGCTTTTAAAAAAAAAACAAAAACGGTCACTTTCGTTAATTATAGACATTTATATAGTAACTCTGACCTTTGTGGTTCTTGGAAGAAGAGATTTTTGAGAACAGGGTATCCTCAGATGTGTTTTGAGGGCACCTCACAGGAGTATTTCTTGGACTGTCTGAACCCTGGGCTTCCCTCCTGGCTGTCTGTGAGACTTGGTGAGCATAGATGAAGTCCTGTCTGCATCCACAAACAAAGCCACTTTGCAAAAGATAAAGTTCACCAAATGCACCTGTTGTCATCTGTAGCCCAAGTGGTATCATTCTTTTGTTCTTTTGGATACTGTAATTGCTTTAAAAAAAAAAAATCTCAGTACCCAGAAGGGAATTAATGGAACTAAATTAATGAGAACCATGAGTTCCTGGTGCGGATGTGTAAGGATGTGAATGTGTGTATATAAACACGTATTAAACCAGGCTCCATAACCATGTGCTTGTCCATTTCCATGTCTATTTTCGTAGAACCATTCAGCCATGATGGTTCCTTTTGGGGGCCTGACTTGGTCATGTACTGAATTAAAGCCAATGTCAACAACAGGTTGTTTCCATGGTAGCCCTGTCTGTTACTTGCTCTTCCGATGGTCACACACGTGATTTGTGCGATGTCACTCTGAGATGTACCAAACTTTGTAAACTGACAAAACCGAATGGGTGATTTTAGAAAGTTTCCAACCCTTGATATTTTTGGATTTCTTGGATTTGGGCATACATACTTTATCCTGTCAGTTAAGCCCTCCTGGGATAATTTAATTAAAATTTTTTTTTTCTGTTTTGAAGAAAACTCCTTAAACTTATAATTTAATTCCCATTCTGCTCATTATTGAGTTACCTCCTTATAATCCCAGATAATTCTGCTTTAGGTCCAAGTTTTTAAAAATTATTTAATGCTCTACTGCTCTCTTTTCTCTGGTTTTTTATTTGTTCCCCAGTTTTGTTTTTTTTTAACCAAAATAAATACTAGTTTTGAAGAATTTTGCCTATGTTTACTACTCAGATAGAGAGAGAACTTGAAAACAACTTTTTTTTTTGGTTTTTCGAGACAGGGTTTCTCTGTGTAGCTTTGCACCTCTCCTGGAACTCACTTGGTAGCCCAGGCTGGCCTCGAACTCACAGAAATCCACCTGGCTCTGCTTCCTGAGTGCTGGGATTAAAGACGTGCGCCACCACCGCCTGGCTGAAAACAGCTTTTTTATGTACATAGTTTCATCTAAAATATAAACTGCTTTTGGAGGAGGAAACAAATGAAAATATTTTCAGGAAGATGAGAAGTCTTTGAGAATAAGAAAATGAAATTTAACTAAACAGCTCCTTGCTTTCATCATAACGTTTATCAAGACAAAGAAGAGATATTAAAAAGCCTGAGGCTTACCTCTAAGTTCTTCAAGTTAGAATTTTACTGTACATTACTCTACTTACTGTAAATGTAAGTGTTTGACGTGAAGTAGACTGTATGATAACGCTCGCATTACGTAGCTATTTTGTGGTGTCCGATGCTAGAGTGTAAGAACTTTGTGTTTGACTAAAACAACTCATGTCAGTGAAGGACGGTCCGTGTGTAAGCTAGCATGCTTGTATCCCCTCTGAGCCATAGAGAAGAGCTGGACAACTTCCTGCTAAATGGTGAGTTTCCGGCGAGAGGAGTGTGCATCGCTTGTGGCTCTGGAATAGCCACTAGACTATGGTGTGAGGTAAGGAGCAGTGACCTGGTTTCATAGATTTCATCTTCCCGTGCCTTCAGCCATCCATCTGGCAAGTATTCACTATCGCTTTTGGTGTGCTAGTCCTGGACCAAAAGAATGAGACCTTCTAGCCCAAATACATGTTTCTATCATAAAAGCGCTTAATTTTTAGACATTCATCGTTCCTGGACTTGGGCATCCATTTGGCCATGTGTGAGTAGGATGGATCTGTCTGGTTATGATCTATGCATATATCTATATGTCATATGTAAACATGTCATGTTCATACACACCACCTGGGTGAACAGAGACATTCGGGTCTAAGATTGTCTATATTCTTGGGTTACTGTGCCTGTTGTCTTTGGCCTACTCAGGGATTTTTATTCTATTCTTTAGAGAACTTATCTTTTACAGGTATTTTTATCTGATTTGAAAAACTTTCCAGTATGTGAGTTACAAAGTGGTATTTGCTATCAGGAAAGATGGCTTCATCAGAGGTTAGGAGCGTGCACCCTGCGCCGCACAGGCATCTCATTCGGAATTGCGTAGGTTTATAAAAGAAATGTATGCATTTCTCTCTTTTTAAAGACTGCACACACACACAAGTATGTGTGTCCTTTCCATGGTAGTAGCTTGAAAGTATTTGTGAATATTTTAGTAAGTCTCAAAATCTTTAAAAGAGTTAAAAAAAAAAGAAAAGAAAAAATTATTGATACATCAGTGCCAACTTTGAAGGTAGAGCAGTTAGTGACCCTTATGGTAAATTCTGAAAACTCCTTTACAAAATGAAGTATACATGTTGTGTCTTTTTACCCATGGCTTGTCCTTATGTCTTGCCATTGTAAATGTATGTATGTTCCTGAAGAAAATCAAACCACATAGAATTATAGGCTACAAGTTCCTCTGCTTACCTACCCCTTGTTTTTCTAGGGGTGACGACTATCAATGGTCTGCTACCTGTCCTTCCAGACGCTTCCTTCAAGTGTACAAATACATGTGTGTCTGTATATGTGCATGCATGCACCCTTGTGTGTTAGTTTTCTACAAATAGAATGATATTCTTTGCTGTGACTCTTTTTCATGTTTTTAAATATTGGAAAAACACCTTGCCATAAGTGTTTACATCCATTTGAAAAGAACTGCCTATCCCACTGTAGAGCTACATTTTAGTTGACTCGGTCTTCTGTCGAATGGGAAACAAGGTAGTTTTTACTTATCACACACTAAGTGTTTTATGCATCCATGTATTTTCTCACTTACTATGACCATTTCCATGGGATTTTGAATTTTATTTTTTACACAATATTTGTAATAAAGACTTTTAATGCATAGTCAGGCAAAGAGATCGTAGTTGAGACCCTAGTTGTGAATAAACAGTGTAGAGAGTGCCTATTTTTAAAGCAGAGCATCTTTTGAAAGACTTCCTCCTTGATAGGTTAGCCAAATACCTTGCCAAAATTTAAAAGAGAAAATTAATCTGTTCCCAATGAAGCTAAAATGTGGTCAGCTGTCTTGAACGGTGTGAAGGAAGATGAATCGATCCTTGGCTTGCTTGCTTTTAACTTTAGTACTCAAGCCAAATGAATGGTGTATATCACATTTTATAAAACACTCGCCATGTTCGTGTGTCATTTATAAAAGGTAGAAGGGAAAGGAAAGGGGTCAAACCCTATGACACAAGCAGCATCCTCTTCTCACATTTATGGTCTAGCAGTTAGCCACTTACTGTCTCCTTCAAGAACAGACAGAAAAACAGTCAAAGATAGTTCAACAGCAGACATGTTACAGTGTGCTATCATTTCCTGCTGGGGGATCAAGATTCAGCGGGACCTCTTGGGAAATGCCCAACTCTGTGGCATCATCTCTTGAGTCCCTAGACCCTACTTGAGTCTGTCTTTTAATTTCACTGCCCAGATACATGGCCCAGTGTTTCCACAAAATACTCTACCCTGCTGCAGTCGCTGTCTGTCCCTATGGTAGTTTCAACTACGTTTTTTGTCCACACCTCTACTCTTCACCCTCAGAGAAGAACAGGAACAGGCAGGAGAGCAAAGTTCACCCTGATCCATGTAGCCTCAGTGTTTCTTTCAGATTTCAGTGCATTTGCCAACACATCGCCTCTACTGAACACATGAGACTTCTTTAACATCAGATTTTTATGATGCCTGTTGTTATGATTATAAAAAGTCAGTGGCCTGAACATCATTAGGTGGCATATAAGTACAAAACTAAGAAAATCCGTGCCATGAGCCACATTAGATGTTAGTTAGTTTTATAAGCAAGCTGCACACAAGCCTTAATGTGAGCCCTTCCATGTTGGTGGTTGAAGTCTGTCTCAACTCTTGTTTTATGTTAAGGTCTGCTATAATTGTTAGCCTTAAAATTGATGCACTTTCCAGTGTGTGTGCCATTTAAATAATTAAGAGATAAAAAGTGACATGTGTTTTTCAGTGGTGAGAATAGAATCACGTCAGAAAATATGTTCAAATTCTTCAAATATGTGAGGAATTGGAAGCTTAGTATTTTATGGAAAGCATTCCTAAATATATAGAACTATTCCTAATATTTTAGTACTCTTGGAATTTTTTTGCAGCAATTATGCTATGTTCAGAACTCATAGCAAATAACGATGCTACGTAATAACTTCACTTGAATCTTTATTTAAAATATTCTTACTGAAAGTTTTAATTGTATTTCCACAGTTTGTGAATTCTATAAAAGAAAATTTTCTTGACTGGAAACACAATAAATAAAATTAGCTGGAGCACATTTTGTTTTTCAAATTATAACTTAATTATGTACTTTTCTACAATTGTGGACACTAACTTCCAGGATCACATTAAAATGTGTTTCTGCAATGATCATATCAATTAAACTAAGATACTCGTGTAGAAACAGTATTATTTAAATAAAACAAAAATTCCAAACTTGAAAGGGTATTTAAGACTGTGAAAAGTTAATTTTTTGGGTGCAAATCAATGGATGTGACTCCACTGTAACTTCCTTTGTGCAGTTAAGACTGATTTCAAAGCTAAGTGCTGTATGGGACTTCTGTGCATCACTCTGTGAGTCTGCAGCTTTTGTTGATGGTAATTGTCTATTTACAGATTAACTGAAGCCTTGATATGTCACGTACTTTATACGTCCTTATACATATTGCCAGCTGTGCAAGCCTGCAATCATGCATATTAGAAAATAATTTTTTTCTTTTAACTAAAGAAGTGACTGTTTTTGGAAATAATGACTTAAAATGCAAAAAAATTATCTTTTTGAAAAATACACGAAATATTACCAATGCCCTTTGGAGGGTCATTTCTTTATGTCTCTATAAGACATTTTATTAGTTGATTAGATTATGTAGAGTCATTAACAAAGAAAATATTTTTTTCAGTTCTCAGTCATATGCTATCGCTCTGTTCAGCAATACACACCTATCTCCATACCGTGAACCTATTTTTTTTCTTAGTTTTCCAGATTATCTTGCTTTTTACTCCAGCAGTCCCCTCCTTGTCTCATCTTGGCCAAATGAAGAATAATTTTTCTTAACTATTAGTTCCTTTCACTAGAATGCAATGAAATTCTGTGCCGAAAGGTCTTTATGACCTAACTCAAGCAGTAAATGTCATTTATCCTTACTGTTTATTAGCTGAAATGGATCCAGAGTGCCTGGGCCATTTTTCCTGAGTCTTCATAGGAGGTGCGGGACTCTCCTAGCTCTCTGCCAAATAAGTCAAACAAATTAGATGCCACTTGGACCAGAGGGTTACTAAAACTCTAGAATCAAACTTTACAAATTCATGGTTATCAGCAGACAAAAAACATGTAAACATTCATGCAACCTGTCTTTCATCCTTCATCTAAAATAAGTTATAGTTATGATCACTGGTCTCTACGTAAAAACATCCTCCAGCTTCAACTTGAGGTGGATTGAAATATAGGAGCAATTGTATGTAAGATGCAGCTGTCAATTCATGTCCTGTGCTTATTAATAGATGTTTTTGATAATCTAAAGTAGTCACTTTGTCTATAACCTGGATCGGCCCTATTCTAGAGAATCGGCCCTATTCTAGAGAAATTGCTTATCATTTGAAAACAGTCAAATAGTTTAATTAATCAGATTTACATATAAGCCACACTCAAAATTTATTTAATATAGGTTTACTATATAACAAAAAAGTTCAGAGAGTATTAAGTGTATTAAGTTACCCCAGGAATTGCAGAAATAATGTTATTTCAGGTTTTCCTTGTAGCTGGCAGGCTGTGCTGTAGTCATTGGTTCACCTTGTGGCCAGGTAGGGAAATTGTCTTAAAATTCTAGTTAAATTCTTAAAAATGCCAGTTTTTCATTAGCATCACTTCCTCTATATCTAAATATATTATTTCAAATAAATAGTATCTAAATATCTGATGCACATATCTAATTTGTAGCCTATAGAAAATCAATGTGCTTTATGTTTCTTTACAGAAAACTCTAGATATAATATTGTTGCTTTTATCAGCTGACTACAAATCATTTCTCTATTTTTTTAAGTTGCAAATGGTAGCTCAATAGCCAATATTTATTATTGATCATATTTGTTCACAAATTTCTGTAGATGGTGTTTTGAAAGCTTTCTTTTCATATGAAATTCAGAACAGTAATCGGTTTATGTAGACGTGCATATATAGACACCGTTTGCCAAGGCAAAACCAATCTGTTACAGATTTTTATGAAAATTAAAAGGTACCCAGGTAGTGCACTTGGCAGTTGGTCCAGCCAGAGCCCTTAGGTCTGGGGCCGGCTGGATTTGCTTCCAATTCCTCCTCCATCAGTTGACTGATGTCTTTGAAAGGTCCCGGTCTACTGTAGTTTTATTTTATTTTGTTCTGTTTTGTTTCCTTCTCTATCTGCCCTTTGAAAATTGGTTCCATGGTGAAAGGCAGAAGGCATACTGAGTGTGTCCGACATGCACCAGGCAACCTGCTGCATGTGTCTGTGGTGACTTGTCCGGCATGCACCAGGCAACCTGCTGCATGTGTCTGTGGTGACTTGTCTGTCGTCCTGGACCCCATACCAGCCCTGGCCTTCCCTGACACAGTAAAGTTAGGGACTTTAATTTAAACCCTTGTTTTATGTGACTGTTGCCCTCTGCATGCACACCTCTGCCACCTTCTAATAAAGGCCCCTATAACCCCTTGAGGGGAAGTTAATTGGCAATATACTTGCTTTTGAAGAAAGCTATTAATACACTCTTAAGTAGTACATATTTCATTCTTACAAAAATTTAGTCAAAACAGCAGCATGTCTGGGCATAGTGGCGCACGCCTTTAATCTTAGCACTTGGGAGGCAGAAGCAGGCATGTCTTTGTGAGTCCCAGGCCAGCATGGTCTCCAGAGTGTTTTCCAGGACAACCAGAGCTACATAGTGAGACCATGCCTCAAAAAATAAAATAAAACTCAACAAAACAAAACAAAAAAAAAAAGAGCAGCATAAAAATTTATTACATTAACCCATCATTTATTAAAAAGCCACAAGTGAGTAGTAGTTATTTGGTTCCTCTTTTAAACCAAATTGGTAAGACATTTTCATGTCTTGGAAATCTGAAGGACAGTTACATTATCCACATCTTTTTTTTTTTTAACAGTGTTAAAATGCTAAAAAGAAATAATTGGGGTTTGAATCTGTTGCTATTGCATATTCAGAAATTGATGTTCTAATGAATAGTTACCGTCTCTGATTTCAATTTGAGACTATATCCCATTTTAATTCTGTTCTCAATAGCAAGTGATGATTCATTTCATCATCTTAAGGTGAGTAGTTTGCATTACTGATTTGTACCAGGTCTTGTCACTTTCCTTTTATCGCACAGTTTAAAATTTTCTGTAAACTCTGTAGCCCTTTTCCAAATAATGTGCCATAAGGTTTTTCACGTTGAAAATGTTTGATTTTTTTTAAACTTATAACTGTTTCTACATTTCAGTAGTTGCACTGCTAACTTTGATCTTCATAAAGAACATGGAAGAAGCCATTTTGAATGTATTTTAGGAAATAGTCAAGTAGAAATAACAATATAGATGTCATTGATACTCTTAATTCATCCTGAAAAGCGATTGGAAAGGAAAAGCAAATTCTACCAAAATGAAAAGGTTGAAAAACAAGGGTATCCAAAAGACCTGATTTCTTATCTTGTTGAAGCAATCAACTTTCAGATGAGTACTTTATACTGTTGGGTCCATGAGTTGTGCAGTGTCCACTCACCACTGTAGTGTTGGTACACTAATGATTGCCAAGAAAGGAAGAATTAGTGAAGAAAGCCAGGGAAATCAGCCTTGTTTCCACTCTCCAGTAGCACGAACTATTGTACAGTCCCACCCTTCCATATGGTGCTTGTGTGATGATGTAACATTTGTGTATGTTACTAGTGCCTTATTTCTTTCACGTGACTTTATTTCTTATCAAAAGAGCCATAAATTTTGTTGGTGTTCTTTGATTCCTCTTTTTAAAGCATGCTAATCAGTTGTCTTTATAGATGTACCTAGCCTGCATTTGCTACTGAATCTACTATATTGTCTCTAGAATAATAAATTAGCTGTATTTTTCTCAAGTATGTTGCTTGTTTTTAAACTAAAGCAAGAAAATGAATATTAAATACCAGAAATTGAGGCTAATAGAATTAATTTTTATTTTTTAAACCACACACACACAAAAAAAGAAGGTCGAATAAATTGGAAACAGTGTAATAAACTTGTTGGCAACTCCATTTATGGTAAAACCACCAAATTTTACAAACAGCATTAAAAATAAACATAACTGTGATGTTTTAGAAATGCGGCCATTTCTCTACAACTTGTCTTTGACAATATTTTATCATTAAGTTTCTTATAGATGTAAAACAAACAAAAAAACAACCCAGTAGTTGTCACAATTTACACATCATTCACTCACAGTGGGCTGTAACAACTCAAGCCATGCTGTATATTATTTGCTCTTCAAGGTCTGTGCCTTTTATTTTGTACTATACAAAATACCGGTTTTGTTTATATATACATATACATGCACATTATATCACATATATATATATTTCCAATTCACTTGTGACTGATAAAAGCAATGCAAGTATCAGGTCACACAAATTGTAGGGACAATTCCTTGAGAAGATGAATGGATACCTTGTGGAGTCTAGTTGCAGGCTCTCCGTAATGTCCCTATATCCTTTTGTAGTGTTGTTTTTTTTTTTAAATGATCAATATTTTGGGTTAATTGTTTTAAATTGGGAGGGTAATATTAATTATGATATCAGATCATATGGAAGAATATAAAGACATTATCTGGATGAAACTAATGGGCGTCAAGTGGTTCCAATTGTCACTGTGTGTACAGTGTAGATTACTGTGGAGTGTGCTGTTTACCACACCGTCTGTGCAGAATATCACCGCAGCGTCATCTAGCAATGCCTAATAAAGGTTTTTAAAAGACAAGACTCATGTCTTTTTTCCAGTAGATTTTGATTCTAAATAAATAAAGGCAAAATCAACACTCACATATTATGAATTAATTTGGAATTATTGGAGTAGTGATTATTCTCCTAACTGAGGGAGTGGACGAAGGAGGGAAAATAGAAATCGTTGCATCAAATATTTATGCCTATTTTATACCCTAGCAGATTTTTCTAGTCCTGTTGCCTGAAAAGGACTTTTGTTGACCAAAGAACATGAAGATGATTTCTATGGACACAAAGTGGATAAATATATGACACATTTATGCAATGAAATACTACAGAACAATCAAATGAAAAATATATGACTGAGACCTCCATTCCAAAAGAGCTGAATTTCATAGATACTGTGTTGTATGAATTAAGCCAGACACCATTAAAAGTATAGCATACAATAACACTGATCAAAAATAGACAAAACTAATCACTGGTCACAAAGTGGTTGTTTGTGGGTTGGGGATTGTTGACTAGGGAGGAGAATGAAGAACATTTCTAGAATAGGGCAGTCTGTCTCCAGGATGCATACATGTATTAACTGTTGTGCATTAAAATCTGGACATGTTGGGCTGGAGAGATGGCTCAGAGCTTAAGAGCACTGACTGCTCCTCCAAAGGTCCTGAATTCAATTCCCAGCAACCACATGGTGGCTCACAACCACCTGTAATGAGATTTGGTGCTCTCTTCTGACACACAAGCATAACACTGCATACATTATAAATAAAAATAAATATAAAGATCTGGACACTTTAAACATATTTTGAATATATATCATACCATCATTTGAAAGAACAATGGAGGGAAAAAAAAAAGATAATCTGGAAGATTCCAGAAGAAAAAAGTCACCCATAATCTCAGATGCGGATAAAGGTGACTATGATATGGCACCTGTCAAATTGTAAATTCTATCGTCTTTTTTCATTTTTATTAGATTGTCTCCCCTGGATTGTTAAAACAATCCTCTAGCATGTGCTTTCAGTATCTGTACTCCACTGCTATCAGCTGAATAAGGGGGCCATTCTGGAACACAAATCCTGTCATACATCCTTAGTAATGGATTTTGGGGTCAGGCTGAAAACAACCATGTGGCATATGCACCCTCATGCATCCAGATGGCATCATTTAAAGTTGATGTCAAGTTATATTTCTGGCACCCATTTACAAGAGTATTCTTTCATGCATACTCCTCATTGAAACGTCTTTACAATGTTTGCTATTTAACCAGTGAAAAAAATGGGACCTGACAGCCAAGCCAAGTACACTGCAGAGTTTCAATTGCACTTAATTCCTCTCATTCTAGTAAGCACTCATCTCCAAGCATCATGCTGTAAATTTAAATGCAAAAAAAATGCTACTCCTTATAGTTACAGATGCCAACACCACCCACATGCATAATACAGTAGAAATGTATTTCATGTACACAACATGCCACAAATATTTGTAACATATGCTCCAAGCTAAACAAGCACTTTGAATTGTAAGTTTCTATTTCTTCTAGAACTCTAGTTCAAGTGCCTCTCCCAGTGTTGAGAAGATAGAATATGTCCTGGAATGTAATCAAAGTAGGGTACCTCATTATGGACATTCCCATTTGTTCTTACCTGTTAATCTCCATATTTATATTTCAACCAGTGATTTTTTTTTTAGGAGTTTCCTGTTGAAAAGTTAATGATTGTATCCTTTAGAAATTAACCATGCTGCAGGTTTTAACCCTCAGGTCACAGTTGAGGTAGCTTTATGAAGATGGCACATGCACAGCTCAGTGGTTAGCTGAGACACTTACAGCTGTATTGTTTGGGGCATGTTGTTTAACTTTGCTGTGACTAGGTTTTTCCTTTTACATGGAGATAGCATGCTTCTGAAGACAATTTTGAGGATTGACTGGGTCTAAGATATGTTTAAGTGCTTATCCTATTTTGTTCTTCATAATAAGCTTGCAGGAAATATTAGCTCATACTTCAGTTAATGACTGTTTCATTTGGAACATGGCCAATACAAGATGAATCACTGATGACAGGCATGAACACTAGAGAAAGCTAGTTTACTTTGGTTATGACACATTGAGTCTAGGATGTAGTCTCAAGTGTCCCAAAACGAAAATTATTTTAATGGCTAATGTCTAACATCTACATTTCTGGACTTTCTTATCGGTTAAATGTATAATTTTGTTCAAGGCGTCTATTACTTTGTTTTAGTCAACACATACTGTTTTGTTGCTTGAATGATTCAGTTTCACTCACCTAACTATGTAGCTCCTGTAGAAGATACCATTATTTCTCATACTCCACCATATCAGTAAAAACAAGGACTACAGAGATAGGCTCTAGAGTTAATCCAACCCCAGCAGTCTTTGAACTTGGTTCCACTGGAAGCGTTTCCCTTCTACTTTTAAGGGTGTGACTGAGTTTCCAGATACCATTTGTCTACAATCAAGAAGAGATAACCATGTGGCTGGAGTGATGCTCCTACCAGCCAGTGATGGCCAACAAACACAAGTGAGTAGCAGAAATCCTGTCCTCGAGCTCTCAGAAAGAGCATAGGCCAGCCAATACTTTGACTTCCAGAACTCTAAAACAGCAAGATTCTGCCTGCCTGACCCACTCAGTTTAGAACAAAGCTGCCAACAGAAGCTGAGAACTGAACAATCTTTTCAACATCTTCAGTGATGTGCGTTATCCTTAAAGACCTCAATGTTTTGCTGTTTGTCCAAAGTATTTGATTATATGACCTAAACCTTGGATCTGTTTCCCACAAGTTTTCTGCACAGAAAACTTCTTTGATTTCCTACCAATGTGGTGGCTTGAGTTCTAAGAGCAAATATCCCAACTGGCCTGGAAGCAGAGGCCTACCATTTTCTTTAAAGCCTGTCCAACAAACTGTGTTACATCACAGATGAATTCACAAGGACATCATGAAGCTTGCTTCAGTCCCTGGCTGGAGAGATTGACTTGGAGGCATAATTGTCATTTGTTCATTCATCCCGTATCTTTGGAGTCCCTGCTGTGTGTCAGACTAGTCTAAGTCTTGGTGATATATCAGGGAACAAGACAAAAATCCCTGCCTTCATGATATTTGTGCTTTTCACGAATGGAAAAAGTAGACAAGTAAGTTACATATGTAAATTATAGAGAGGAAAAATAAACCTCTGAAGAGAAATGGGTATGACTCAGAAACTAATGTGTGAGCAAAGCATGAGAGAGATGTAGGAATTGTGTTGATGCCACAAGAAGAGTGCATAAGACAAAGGAGACTGTGGCACAAAGGCTCCAGACAAGACTCTACAATAGTTAGAGTAGATGGAGTGGAAAGAAAGATGGGCAGAGAGGAGGAAGGGGTATTGTGACAGGAGCAAGTGAGGCACTGTACCAATTGCAGTCAGAGCGAGATGAGAAGTCCACTGGAGGTTAGGCAGAGGGGCCATGTGATCAACCCTGTGTCACATCCCCATCTCTTGCTGCCACAGACTAATGGCAAGAACCAGAGAAGTAGCAGAGCAGCATGGAGGGAACAAGAATAGTGAAGCCAGGATCTAAGGATGGCTTGGAGCATGGCAGTGACAGCAGGTGAAATGAGAACTGGTTGGATTTGAATGTAGAATTAACAGGATTTGCCAATGTGATGGAGAAGCAAGCTGTGCAAAGTAAACAATACACATTCAGCCTGGATGTTCTTATAGCAGGAAGACCCTATATCAGTGCAATCAAGAATTTCAGGTCTTACACTCCTATGCCTGGGCTATCTGATCAGCCTAGAGCACATTTCATAATCTCAAGCCCGAACCTGCTGACTTGGGAGCCCACAGTACATGTACAGTAATTGTGTAGCTATGTAAATTGAGAATACCTAGTCCATTAGCTGTAGCTCCAACTGCAGGTCTGGGTGTACTCTATTGTGTCTCCTCAGCTTGCTTCTGGGTGTGCACTCTCTGGAAGTAGGATGTGCTTGGATATCTGGCATCATTATTTAGAAGGAATCATTTTAGTGGGAGAAACAAGAAATGTGATTTTTCTTAAAATTCAGGAAAGTAGCTGAGAAAGAAATCAGGGAAACAACATCCTTAACAATAGCCACAAATAATATAAAATATCTTGGGGTAACTCTAACTAAGCAAGTGAAAGGCCTATATGGACAAGAACTTCAAGTCTTTGAAAAAAAATTAGAGAAGATATCAGGAGATGGAAAGATCTCCCATGCTCATGAATTGGTAGGATTAACATAGTAAAAGTGGCCATATTGCCAAAAGCAATCTATAGATTCAATGCAATCCCCATCAAAATTTCAACACAATTCTTTACAGATCTAGAAAGAATAATATTCAACTACATGTGGAAAAAATTCAGAATAGCTAAAACAATCCTGTACAATAAAAGAATTCCCAGAGGTATCAGCATCCCTTATTTCAAGCTCTACTACAGAGCTATAGTAATAAAAACAGCATGGTATTGGCATAAAAATAGACATGTAAATCAATGGAATAGAATCAAAGACCCTGATGCAAATCCACATACCCATTAACATCTGATTTGTGACAAGCCAAAATTATACAATGGAAAAAAGAAAGCATCTTCAACAAATGGTGCTGGCATAACTGGATGTTGGCATGTAGAAGAATGCAAATAGATCCATATCTATCACTCTGCACAAAACTCAAGTCCAAGTGGATCAAAGACCTCAACATAAATCAATATGAAGGTTTCTCAGAAAATTGGGAATCAATCTATCTCAAGACCCAGCTATACCACACAGGCATATACCTAAAGGATGTTCAATCATACCACAAGGACACTTGCTCAACTATGTTCATAACAGCATTATTTGTAATACCCAGAACCTGGAGACAACCTAGATGCCCCTCAACTGAAGAATGGATAAAGAAAATGTGGTACATTTCTACAATGGAGTATTACTCAGCTGTTAAATACAATGACATCATGAAATTTGCAGGCAAATAGATGGAACTAGAAAAAAAAAAATCATCCT